GCCGCAGGCCGCGCCCCGCCCTCCGCCGCACCCTCCCCCCCAGATCCTCCGCCCCCGCCGCCGGTTCCGCTGCCGCCGCTGGTTCCCCCGCTGCCACCGGTGCCGCCGTTGCCGCTGCCTCCGCCTCCGCCGCCGCCGCCGTTTCCTCTCGGCCACAGCGGCTCTATCACCAGCGCCACCAGGCCGCCCAGCGCCTTCAGATCGCCGCTCAGCCGCACCAGGCTGCGCCGGGTCGGCACAAGTTCCCAGCCCCTCTCCTTCCACTCGCCGCGCAGCAACGCCGCCGCCGGCCGGCCGGCCGCCGCGCCCCAGCCGCCGCCGCCGCCGCCGCCGTGGCCCCCAGTCTCAATTCCCTCCTCTTCGCAGCTGCTCGCGCTGCTGACTGCACCACGCATCATCGACCCTTCCGGCCCCCGCACGGCGGCGGGGGCCCGCGGGCCGCCATCCGAAGGCCGGCCCCAGTCGCGCAGCAGCGCCCCCGCGTGGCCGAGCGCCAACGGCGGGCGCTGCGCGCCTTCGGAGCGGCCCCCCTCTTCATGTGCTGACTCTGCAGACCAGTCGCTGCTACCGCCTCCGCTGGAGCCGCCGCCACCGCCGCCGTCGCCCGCGGCCGCCGCGGCAGCCTCCCAGCCGCCCCGCTCAACGCTGCCGCCGCCGCCGCCGCCGCCCCTCGCCGGCCGGTGCTCCCGCCGCGGCGCGAGCGGCGAGAGCAGCGCGTTGACCGTCGCGCCGAGCCGCGCGGCCTCGGCGCCTGCGGCCTCCAGATTCGCGAGGGCCGGCGGGGACGCGCGGCGCAGCATGGCGCACGTCGCCTGCAGCTCGCGGCAGGCCCGGCGGAGGTCCCTGGCGGCGGCCTCCAGCTCGACCAATGAGTCATGCAGCGCCTGCGGTGGGTTCCGGATTGCATTCAACAGTACGGGGCGTCGCATTGTCAGGCCGCCGCGTCCCAGGTGTGGAAGCCGACGGGGCACGTGGGGAATGAAGTGTGCGGCGGTTGGGGTGCGGGCTTTGGCGCGAGCGTGGAGTGGGTGCAAGGGGGGTCATGATGGTTGGCAGATCCGTGGGTGAGGTTTGCATCAGACAGGCGGGGTTCATTGCGGGGGCGACAGCGTCAAGCGACTGCCGCGGACTTTGGGGTGTGGGGTGGGGT